CATTCAACGATGTTGGGCTGTCACAGACTGTCGACTTTCCAACGCGAGGGAACAGAACACTCGACCTCTTTCTCACGAATAGACCAACACTTATCAGCAAATGCGTACCTTTGCCAGGAGTCGGTGATCATGACATGATCCTCGCAATATCTGATGTACGTGCCAAGAAACTGAAACCAGTCCGTCGGAAAATCTTTCTATGGAGAAAGGCTGATTTTGATTGCATCAAATCAGAAATTCTGTCTTTTGGGAAGTCATTTGTCGAATCAAATTCCACCAACACCAATGTGGATGATATGTGGGAACAAATATCTTGCGAGCTCCACAAGGTGCTTGACACCATGGTTCCTTCCAAGTTTTCTTCTCCACGCTTTAGTCAACCATGGATAAATCAACATCTGAAAACCCTATCCAGGAGAAAGAAACGAGCGTACAAAAGAGCACGCAAGTCTCGTAGGCCAACGGACAGGGACAGATACAAGAATCTCAAGAAAGTCATGCAGAAAGAATGCAGATCTGCCTACCATTCATACATAAACGACATGCTTTGTGAAGAAGCCCAGGACCAAAATCCAGTTGAAACCAATTGGAGCAAAACCAATTGAAACCAGTTGCCAACTGGTTTCAATAGGGAAATTGGAACAACTGGTTCCAATTGAAACCAGTTACCAACTGGTTCCAATTGAAACCAGTTGAAACCAATTGCCAACTGGTTCCAATTGAAACCAGTTGAAACCAATTGCCAACTGGTTCCAGTTGCCTAATTGGTTTCAACTGGAACCAGTTGTTCCAATTTCCCTATTGAAACCAGTTGGCTTCAATTGGTTTCAATTGGTTTCAACTGGTTTCAATTGGTTTCAATTGGATCCAATTGAAACTTACAGTTGGCATAAACTTAATTAGTTATAAGTTAATTAGCTCTTGCACTAATTATCGCTCATGTCAACGAAGAAGCATTACTATATGTGTCTACATTAAGTACAATGTAAAGGGCATCATAATATGCAGACCATATAATGTACTTACAAGGAAGGCATTGCCATTATATATTTTTGTATTTGATGTATTTTGTACATGGTTAGTGTTTTATTAATCAACTTTTAATCTGTGTAATTACAAAAATATGTTACTAATGAACATGCTTATCATTGCTAATTAATCTTTATATTTATCTAAAACAAATGCATTACTTGCAAATGAAAATTAATTGATAAGTACATTGTAAATCAAAATAAATTACATAAAACATTGATCTGCACACAAGCAGATAATATGCAAATTAACTGGTTTCAATTGGATCCAGTTGGGTAACTGGAAATATTTCCAATTGGAACCAATTGTGCAACTGGAAATGAATTCTAACTGGAACCAGTTGGGTAACTGGAAATTACTTCTAACTGGAAATGAATGCTAACTGGAACCAATTGGGTAACTGGAAATGAATTCTTACTGGAACCAGTTGGGTAACTGGAAATTACTTCTAACTGGAAATGAATGCTAACTGGAACCAGTTAGGTAACTGGAAATAAATTCTAACTGGAAATGACTTCTAACTGGAACCAGTTGGGTAACTGGAAATGACTTCTAACTGGAAATGAATGCTAACTGGAACCAGTTGGGTAACTGGAAATGAATTTTAACTGGAACCAGTTGGGTTACTGGAAATGAATTCTAACTGGAACCAGTTGGGTAACTGGAAATGAATTTTAACTGGAACGAGTTGGGTTACTGGAAATGAATTCTAACTGGAACCAGTTGGGTAACTGGAAATGAATTTTAACTGGAACCAGTTGGGTTACTGGAAATGAATGCTAACTGGAAATGAATTTTTACTGGAACCAGTTGGGTTACTGGAAATGAATTCTAACTGGAACCAGTTGGGTAACTGGAAATCGGACTTCTAATTGAAAATGAATGCTAACTGGAACCAGTTGGGTAACTGGAAATGACTTCTAACTGGAACCAATTGGGTAACTGGAAATGACTTCTAACTGGAAATGAATGCTAACTGGAACCAGTTGGGTAACTGGAAATGACTTCTAACTGGAACCAATTGGGTAACTGGAAATGACTTCTAACTGGAAATGAATGCTAACTGGAACCAGTTGGATAACTGGAAATGAATTCTAACTGGAACCAATTGAGTAACAGGAAAATCATCTTACTGTTTCCAGTTGAACTTCTAACTGGAACCAGTTGGGTAACTGGAAATATGACTTCTAACTGGAAAAATTACCTTACTGGTTCCAGTTGCACTTCTTATTGGTTTGAACTGGAAATGAGTACCCATAACAATATTTTCCAGTTCGGCAATTGGTTTCAACTGGAAATTTTATATTCCAATTGAAACCAATTGAAACCAATTGAAACCAGTTGAAACCAATTGAAACCAGTTGGAGATTTCAACTGGTTTCAATTGGATTTTGGTCCTGGGAGGCAAACCCAAGAGGTTCTGGTCTTACATAAAGCGTCGCGTGCCCTGCATAAGGGCGCTAGCTTATGCGCGCGCGGAAAAAACGTTTTCGAGATAATCGCATTATAAAGGTTTGAATGCCTACCATAGCTGAGCTGCTACGTCATTTAAACTATGAGACTGTTATTATATAGCAAATATGGACCAATTTAATTACACCATGTTTGGAAATTTAGTTGTAAATACTTTTGAAGTTACATCCGTTTTAATGCTTGAGCCCTTCTGCCGGGAAGGCAACTGCGCGATGCGCTGCCTTGCATAAGGGCCGTACGCTCATTGCGCCCTTCTACCGGGAAGCGACTTTGCGTTTTACACCCTGGCCTGGACCTTTTCCCAATAAATTTCAAGGAACCGACTGGGAAAAGTCTATCCATGACAAGATATTGCGCGCGCACGTAGCTCTTCTGCAATGCTCAACGTACGTCCTATATGTCCAGTGTCGCGGTACGCGGTACATGTACTTTTGTATCGAGACGTACGAGTGAGAGAAAAACAACGAATAACAACAGAAGGAAATAGAGAAAAACAATAAATAATTAAAGAACAGAGAGGAAACAAAGAATGTCATAAGCAGAGAGAGAAAACAAAAACTAACTTGAAAGAAAAGAGAGAAATTAGAGAAGGAATTAATCAAAGTAAGGAAAGAGAGAAACCAAATAATATTATGGTTTTTGTGGTTTAATTCCGCCTTCTTCAGGGTTTCAATTTTTGACGTGTAGCCTACTTTCAAACCATTTGCTGATTCGGACCCCCCCCCCTAACACACGTGTACACATATCGACACATACACAGACTACACTCGACATAATATGTGTAATGGTAATGTAATACATAAACTGTGATTTAAATATTGCACTCGTACCATTTTCTATTATTGTGGGATCACGTCTTTCATTTTTTAAATTCATGTCATTTGTTTCTAAGACCTAATTTCTCTAATTCTCTTGACCCCTCTCCCTTCATATTTGTTTTCTAAGACCTCCCCCCCCCCCTCATCTCTCTTCATATTTGTTTTCTAAGACCCATTTCTCCCCCGCCCCCCCCCCCCATCTCTATTCATATTTGTTTTCTAAGACCTCTCTCTCTCGACCCACTCTCTCTCTCGTATGTATTTCTCAGACCCCTCTTTCTTTCTCTCTCATTAACCCCCTCTTCATATTTGTTTCTAAGGCCTCTCTCTCTCTCTTCATATTTGTTTCTAAGACCCCCCCCCCCCCTCTTTCTCATTTCTTGATATTTGTTTCTAAGACCTCTCTCTCTCTAGCTCTCAATTCATGATATTTGTTTCTAAGACCCCCTCTCTTTCTCACTTCTTGAATTCATATTTGTTTCTAAGACCTCTGTCTCTCTCTCCCTTTCTCTCTTTCTCATTTTAAATTCATGATATTTGTTTATAAGACCTCTCTTTCTCTCTTTTTCCATTCATCACTTTGTCTAGTGTAATGTACAGACACGTAACATATACGGTGTGTATAAATGCTGCATCGACGTACGTCTGTGCATGTACGATTCGATTTGGAACTGGCGCGCCCGATCGAGGAGCGTAGACTAGACTCATTCAAGCAGTTTCATTGCTATTTACCGGGAAAATGTCCAGGCCAGGGTGTAAAACGCAAAGTCGCTACCGGGAACATACCAGTGTGTTGCGCAGCATCACATAAGGGCTGCTCCCATAGACGCGCGTGTTAAATCGACTCGGGGCATTATGTCGCTACGTAGAGCTAGGGCAGCAGGTCTATAAAGTTGTAGGCGCTTATTTAAACACATGGAACTCGTAATTTTTGATGAAATCAGAGTGTATTTTGGCTGACTACTCTAATTGTAAGAAAACAATGTTTATTTTTAATAACTTATCAATTCACCGAGGGAAACCTAGCTTAGCTACTAGCATAGTGGGTGGAATAGGCCTACCAATTATAGTGCCCCTTGGGGGTGTTTCACTAAGATTAAAAGTTGAACTCGACTCTAAGTTGGACCTATTATGGAAAGCCATTAGTTTCTTTGCAAAATTGTTGCAACAGTTTTTTTTAAAAAGGCATACATTTTAATTAAAATAAGTTAAACCGTTGATTTAATTTTTTGTTGCTTAAAAATCCAAATACTTTTTTTTTGGCTCTTTAATATCGTTTTATTCCAAGGCTTTTTAATATGGCTTTTAATGCCAGATAGGTCCAACGTAGAGTTGTGTTAAACTTATAATGTTTGTATTATCATTAATGATTCAGTTTGAAGCATGTGCGTCCGTCCATTACCCTCTTGTCCCAACCCTCCTCCCAACAAAATACATGTAATACACAACTTTGTTTTATTTAGATCAGAACTACAATCATACACTCACACAATCAAAGTATCTATCAATATCAGAGCCCCTATCTTTGTTTTTATTTTTCTTCTAATCCGTCTACAAACCACTCTGTTCAAAACAACAACACAATGTCAAGCAGGAAACTGGTATACAACAAGCTATTCACAATACATATAATTACAAGCCATGAAATGGGTTCATTTTTTAATTTTTTTTATTAATGACACTATTTGTAACATTTCAAACACTTTCCAATGCTTATATCAATCACATTATGCAGTACATGTCTGAAGCAAAAATTGAATTATCAATTGATAAAACAACAAAGCTATTCAAACACATAATAATGTCACGATTAACAAAAATGACTTGAAATTAAGTTTTTTTTAGAACTATCAAACTTCTATTTACACTCTATATCATTATCCCTGTAAAGAGTACATAGAACATATTACAAAACAATTATCAAATAATTTATAATATTAATTCATTTCATTTTGGTAAAAATTACATTCATATTTACATTAATACATTATTCACACATGAATTCTTTATGTACATTGTCGAATAAATCACTTGTATTTGATTTCAATAAAAGGATTTATATAAGGAAGGTTTAAATACTTGTAATTTAGTAAATCCTGTCCCTGAATGCAATCGATAAACATCACACACTGATGAAACTTTCTATAACATGGCAATACTTGTGGCATGTATTAAAGCTCTGAACAATCACACACTGATGAAACTTTCTATAACATGGCAATATTTGTGGCATGTACTAAAGCTCTCATGAACATCACACACTGATGAAACTTTCTATAACATGGCAATATTTGTGGCATGTACTAAAGCTCTGAACATCACACACTGATGAAACTTTCTATAACATGGCAATATTTGTGGCATGTACTAAAGCTCTGAACATCACACACTGATGAAACTTTCTATAACATGGCAATATTTGTGGCATGTACTAAAGCTCTCATGAACATCACACACTGATGAAACTTTCTATAACATGGCAATATTAGTGGCATGTACTAAAGCTCTGAACATCACACACTGATGAAACTTTCTATAACATGGCAATATTTGTGGCATGTAATATAGCTCAAACTTTCTATAACATGGCAATATTTGTGGCATATACTAAAGCTCTGTACATCACACACTGATGAAACTTTCTATAACATGACAATATTTGTGGCATGTACTAAAGCTCTGAACATCACACACTGATGAAACTTTCTATAACATGGCAATATTTGTGGCATGTACTAAAGCTCTGAACATCACACACTGATGAAACTTTCTTTAATATGGCAATATTTGTGGCATGTACTAAAGCTCTCATGAACATCACACACTGATGAAACTTTCTTTAACATGGCAATATTTGTGGCATGTACTAAAGCTCTGAACATCACACACTGATGAAACTTTCTTTAATATGGCAATATTTGTGGCATGTACTAAAGCTCTCATGAACATCACACACTGATGAAACTTTCTATAACATGGCAATATTTGTGGCATGTACTAAAGCTCTGAACATCACACACTGATGAAACTTTCTATAACATGGCAATATTTGTGGCATGTACTAAAGCTCTGAACATCACACACTGATGAAACTTTCTATAACATGGCAATACTTGTGGCATGTAATATAGCTCAAACTTTCTATAACATGACAATATTAGCGGCATGTACTTAAGCTCTGAACATCACACACTGATGAAACTTTCTATAACATGGCAATACTTGTGGCATGTAATATAGCTCAAACTTTCTATAACATGACAATATTAGCGGCATGTACTAAAGCTCTGAACATCACACACTGATGAAACTTTCTATAACATGGCAATACTTGTGGCATGTAATATAGCTCAAACTTTCTATAACATGACAATATTAGCGGCATGTACTTAAGCTCTGAACATCACACACTGATGAAACTTTCTATAACATGGCAATACTTGTGGCATGTAATATAGCTCAAACTTTCTATAACATGACAATATTAGCGGCATGTACTTAAGCTCTGAACATCACACACTGATGAAACTTTCTATAACATGGCAATACATTCGTACAAAAATTATAAAATGTCAAGTATTTAAAAAAAAGAACTTAGATGAAATTTTTGTTCATGAATCACTCTAATAATTGGTACTATGGAAAATATTATGAAACTGTATAGGATTTGTATACACTACATGCTACCTAATATCAGGATTCAGAAATCATTCTATTCATTGGCAGACATGTGATGACATGATGAGAGATAACTCATAAGGGTTTTTATTAAGCAGCAAATCCTTCTAAGACATTAATGGTTTACCTTTAATCGCTAAGTAAGTAACCAGTTGTATACCCTTCATGGACGAGGGAAGCATTGTGGAATGAATGTCTTCATGGCGGAAACACCTGCTGGGCATGGATTTCACATTGTTCATATTAAAGGAAAAAAGCAGCCCCTTCAGACCACAACACTGCAAGTGTACAGAAAGAGAAAACAAATACATGTTTTACATACAATTCAGCAATTGTACAGGACATTTCAAATAATCAATGCAGAGATTAAAATCATTTATATTGCACAAAAAGGAAGTTAAACAATTTTTAACTGGCAGAGAATATGACAAAGGCAGATAAGTAGCAGAGAAGAGTTGAAATATAACATAAGGCAACTATAATAGTCCTGATCAATGTTAAAATTAAAAGATCAGAAGTTGATTTGCTACACATTTACATAATTATAAGTTTTGTATATCTCAATTATGTTTTCGGGTTGACTGCCCATCTGTCCAACTCTTTTTTTTGAGAACTGGTGAATGGCTCATTTTACAAACTTGGTATTAAGGGTGCACATATAATAGCAAGGAGGGTGACAATGATTTGAGTACATTCTGGGGTCATGAGGTCAAAGACCACAGGGGTCATTATATTGTAATACCCACATAAAAGCATAACATGTTATAACAAATAACAAATGCATTTGTATTATCTGCCAAAGACAAGACAAGTTATACATATATGTATACCTTTTGTATAACCTACAAATCATTTATTAATTCCAATGTATGAAACAAGTCATTCACACCATTGTTTTTTGTATAACCTGTAGAAAAAAAGACAAGTCATTCATCAATCTTCTGTATAACCTGTAGAAAAAAAGAAATGTAATTCATTTTTTTTTTGTATAACCTGTAGTACATAAAAGACATGTCATTCCTATCACATTTTTTGTAAAACCTGTAGAAAAACAAGAAAAGGCATTCATATCAATCTCTTTTGCATAACTGGTAGAAAACAGGTGAGTAATTCATACCAATTTTTTGTATAACCTGTACAAAAGGACAAATCACTCATACCCATTCTTTTGTAGTACCTGAATAAGAACAAATTATTCATATCAATTATTCTTCGAAACCTGTAGAAGAAACAAGAAAAGTTATTCATATCAATTCTTTTGTATTTACCTGTAGAAAACCAAGACAAGTCATGCGTATCAATTCTTTTGTATAACCTGTAGAGAACCAAGACAAGTCATGCATATCAATTCTTTTGTATAACCTGTAGAGAACCAAGACAAGTCATGCATATCAATTCTTTTGTATAACCTGTAGAAAACCAAGACAAGTCATGCATATCATTTCTTTTGTATAACCTGTAGAAACAAGAATAGTCATGTTATAGTTTTTTTACACTCCTGTAAAAAGCAAGAAAAGCCATTGTTCTCAAATCTCATGTTTAACTTGGAGAAAACCAAGACAATTCATGCATATCAATTCTTTTGTATAACCTGTAGAGAACCAAGACAAGTCATGCATATCAATTCTTTTGTATAACCTGTAGAAAACCAAGACAAGTCATGCATATCAATTCTTTTGTATAACCTGTAGAAAACCAAGACAAGTCATGCGTATCAATTCTTTTGTATAACCTGTAGAAAACCAAGACAAGTCATGCGTATCAATTCTTTTGTATAACCTGTAGAGAACCAAGACAAGTCATGCATATCAATTCTTTTGTATAACCTGTAGAGAACCAAGACAAGTCATGCATATCAATTCTTTTGTATAACCTGTAGAAACAAGAATAGTCATGTTATAGTTTTTTTACACTCCTGTAAAAAGCAAGAAAAGCCATTGTTCTCAAATCTCATGTTTAACTTGGAGAAAACCAAGACAATTCATGCATATCAATTCTTTTGTATAACCTGTAGAGAACCAAGACAAGTCATGCATATCAATTCTTTTGTATAACCTGTAGAAAACCAAGACAAGTCATGCATATTAATTCTTTTGTATAACCTGTAGAAAACCAAGACAAGTCATGCGTATCAATTCTTTTGTATAACCTGTAGAGAACCAAGACAAGTCATGCATATCAATTCTTTTGTATAACCTGTAGAGAACCAAGACAAGTCATGCATATCATTTCTTTTGTATAACCTGTAGAAACAAGAATAGTCATGTTATAGTTTTTTTACACTCCTGTAAAAAGCAAGAAAAGCCATTGTTCTCAAATCTCATGTTTAACTTGGAGAAAACCAAGACAATTCATGCATATAAATTCTTCGGAAAACCTGCACAATAGGAAGTCAAGTCAATCTATGCCTTTGTTGCACTCTATATTTTAGAAAAACAAAATCAAAATTTTGTTTATTAATAGCCAGTCATATTCAAAGCTGTGCAGCATTCCCTCATTAAAAAGAATCAAAGGTACCTGTGAATGAGACAAACATTCATGTTAATGTCACATTATGCACATAAATGCAACAATTATTCTTCAGTAAATTGGTTATCGTCGTCACTGTCATCACCATCATCTCCATCAACATCTGGAGCTGGAAGATTCCTGTAAAAGTTGTGAAAGACTAAAGGTATGATATTGGTGTCACACAGATTGATAAGGTCAAGCCTCTTCTTTTTCTCGATCATGAGTGGTTCTGGGTATAGAACCTCCAGTCTCAGATTCTTTGATGTCCTTGCAGAAGCAGACACTCTCAGCTCCCTCAGCTCGTCACTGTAGTTATAGCGAAACTTAATAATGTGGGGCTGCTCTTTCTCATAGACGAGATGCTTGATCTTGGTCCAAGACACCTTCTCTCCAGCTACATCCTTTGAGGTATTATGCATGATGTTGGCTGTGAGAGATTTAAGGTCAAAGAATTCATCATGCTTGAGCTGATGAACCTTGTATGGATGTGACCTTCTGGCTGCAGAAGCTAGAGTTGCCCATTGATCTGGATGGTAGATGGGCACTTTCCGCTTGACCTGCTCTATTGCACTATGCATTGAATCAACTTCCATTTGAGTGTGCCCACTCTCTAAAAATTTCTGCTCTATTACAGAAATTGACAGAGTCCGAACTGCATAAAGTAATGTCGCTGAAATGAACTTGTTGCGGTTCTGTCCCCCACAACAGTCACTGAAAAGAGTGACGTGCTTCACTCTCTCAGGCAACTCTGATAGGTGCTTTAACAAGCAGGTACCTATCTCGCAAGAGCCCCTGTTTCCATTGACTTCACTCCATATGAAGCACTTACCTTCATGAGAACATTGATTATATACAGTAAAATTATAAGTAGATAACTTCCTCTTATAATAGAGTACACTGGCACTAGCTGAGGGGCACGAAAGAACCTGCTGGAGGTCAACAGAAAAAGAGGAAAAAGAAGGGTCAATAGAAGCTTGTTGTTTGTCTTTGTCTTTCTCTTCCCTCGCCATCTGTTTATTGAGGAGATGCGCATCCTGTGCTTCCTGGCCAGCCAGTTGACCTGCTGGAGGCAAATTGGCAAAGGCAGTACATGTCTTGCACTCGTCCTTTTTGGGGACATGAAACCCCAAATTGAATTCCTCATTGAATACCTTCCTGTACACCTTGAGGGATTTTGGTGCAGAGCACTCCTGTTTGTACAGGTCGTGCATCTTTGCCACACTAAGGTCTGCAGGAAGGTATTTCCTCTTTGTAGCACTCCTACAATAGTGGGAAGGAACACACTGAAAACTAGAGATATGATCTCTTATTGCCTGCAAATCATTGTCACCCACTTTGTTGGGTGGGATATGTCTACCCCTTTTATCTACATGGGAAAACACATTGCCTTCCTTTGTTGACAAGGTGTGGCGAATCAACTTCTCCCCAATACCGAGAGTGTTACGAAAAAACTTCTGACACACATTGACTTTTTCGTTTTGTGCATTTGAAGGCAGCATGTACTGGCGAACTGCCCTCTGCTTCTTATCTGCCTTTTCAGTAACATTCTGACAGATAAAATCTCGCTGACGCTCATATGAGCCAGTGCCCCAGTAGTCCATGAAGATCTGTTGGCGCTGCTCCTGTGAAAAAATAGAATTGCATTTCTGCCTACAATACTCCCCACAAGGTGGTCCTATCCTGCGTTCCGCCCGCTCAGTGCCATCACGAGAGGCGTATGCCTGACCAGTATTGCACAATCTCTTACGCACATTCTGTACCCACATCTCTGGCTTAGCAGTCCTCTTTCTAGCATCCTTATTCTAAGATCATAAAGAAAACAAAACAAATAGATTTGATGATAAACACCAATAATAAGCCTGACTGTTTGTGAAAAATAAGGACAAAAATGAAATCTTGTACAGTTTTACATAACAAACCTAAATATTCAAATTGATGTTGTATGGCTATTTACATTAACCCATTCCCTTTGAGATTCTGATTTCCTCTATGTTATGGGAAATACTTCAAGACAGAATAGTAAGTTTCAACATGTGGAGGAGAAAAAAAACTGCAGCCAACAGAATAAAAATGTTTGGAAGAGTGAGGAATGAGTATTCCTACAAGTCAGTAGAGCATAACAAAAAAATGTGATTTCTGTTCAAAATTAAATAATTTATTTAGGAAATGTGAACAATATGTAGAACCACATTGCTCATGTTTTCTTAACCCCTTGACTACGGGAACTGGGTGAGCTGTGTAAAAAGTCTATGGAGATTTCAGAATCTCAAAGGGAATAGGTTCATGTAAAATAGCCATACATCATCAATACGGTACATTTAATATTTAGGTTTGGTATGTAAAACTGGACTTATTTTTCACAAATATTCAGGATTATTATTCGGTGTTTATCATCAAATCTATTTGATTTGTTTTCTTTATGATCTTAGAATTAGGATGCTAGAAAGAGGACTGCTAAGCCGGAGATGTGGGTACAAAAAGTGAAGATGTGGGTGATGTGGGAAGAGTGAGGTATGAGTCATTCTTATGTGAAAATTGAAGATATCAATGTCAATCCAATACTTTGGACTGGTATTGATATCTCAGTAAAGCAGAACCATCACAAAAATATCATTATCCTTTCAAGTAATACTAATATCATACAAAATAACTCCCATGACTGTCAGTTAGTGTCCAGGAATTTGGATTATTGATGTGCTAAACTGTAGAAGTTGACAATGCACTTACCTCACATCTCTCTGGATTTTTAGCAGGCTGTGCAGCTGGCATTGTAGCATGGAAGTGGCTAGTTGCTACGATCTATAACAAATTGAAACAGGTATGTACAGGATAATACAATGAGAGTTTCAATACGGGAAGGACATTATTTACATTATTTAAATAACATGAAAAGAAATAAATGAAATAAATTTAAAAGATAAAAACATATTACATTACATTATTTTGTGTATCCAAACACTGTCACCAAATTTATGCATATTTCAATAGTTTGACTGATCATTTTTATTATTAGCTGTCTACTACAAAATAGCATATTTGTTTATGTTCAAAAAATATATTTGTATTTAATTTTGGCAGTTTCCTTTGTTAAAAATATTTGTTGACATAATATAATGTACCTCATCAATTTCTGCTGGGGTTCCGGCAGCTAAAGTTGTCGGTCTCTGAACCAATTCCTGTAACATTTGAGACACAAAGTAATGACCGATTACTCAACAATGCTCGACAAACTTGGATAAGTGTTATTGCTATTCACATTGATCAGGTTCATGCAAATTGTAAATGCAATTAAATGTAACATTTTCATTTTACATACCTACGAATCATGTACATTGATCTAGGTTCAAAAGATTTATTTACTTTCATCTATGAAATATAACCCATAAATACGACTTGTTAAGGTTTTTTTAATACATAAATACTACAAGGCCAAGCTGTCAAGAATAAACAATTAGATTAAGGTGGTGACATGTAATTGGTTTGGACCTGGAGTCCTGTGATTAGAAGTCAAGCTCTTATCGGATCGTGCCACAGCATCTCCACTTATATCCTTGCAATTTCGATCAAAAAATAAGTTTAAAGGGGGAAAACCATATTAATTATACACACCGCGTACTGGTTATGCTGGGAGCACGGATCATCGGCGATGAAATGGTCATAACACAAAAACACTTCGCACCATACACAGACCGAAAAAACTTTGATAGTGCAGCCGAAGTGTTCGCATGATTTTACGTTATGCGAGTCCTTCAGCTCCTCTTCTATGATGCTTAAACATCTGTCTGCAATAAAAAGCATTATCTGGCATGAAAACTGTCATCTCACTATTTACAAGATGCATGGAATCACTTTAATATACTGTAACTGCTTGAAATACATCCAATTTATTTGTGGATGTGAAGTTTGGATAAAACATATATCTATATAATTTTGGTGCGAGAAAATTAAATTCACAATAGGGAATTTTCACTTTAAATAATCAATTACTTGCAGTACTTTAGCAATATACTTAACATGTAAAAACTTGCAATATTATGATTTATAGATCCATACCTTCCATGATATTGTTCCCTGTGTCCACTCTTCTTCCTTTTTCTGCCAGATATCATATATAGAGAGAGAAAAAGAATAAATGTTATGCAGCATGACTGGAGAGGGGGGGGGGGGGGGGGGGCAGGGGGAGGGGTTCATTTCAATACTGAGAATAAGCGGCATATCACAGTTTTAAAAAATACAAGGGGGGTTCTTAAGCGCCAACAAAATGTCATTGGAGTACAATGCAAGCAAAGAATGTTGTTTTCATGCATGCAAGTTTGAAAAGCATTGGATAAGTAGCAACCAAAATGTAATTCATAGGTTTTCCTTTGGCATGGTTTAAAACATTTTCAATGGCTACAGTAAATATAAATCAAAATTTTGTTCAGTAGATCTAAATAATATTAATAACCGTCTTGACCCGACTGACACAAGTTGAAACTACTTATCATAGGTTATGATAAAGATTTTCTCACCTCTCAGCTCTATCAAGGGGATATTGTCATCAATGTCCGAATCATCACTATCATCACTGTCTTCTGATGCTATTTGCAACACCTTCCCGTGCCACCTCTCATTCCCCCATGGCATCACAATTGTATGACCAACTTCAGGATGTCCTTTTCGACATATCACGTCCCTATAGGCCACCACATTTTCTGTGTTATCTCGAAACCACCGTACGAGAAGTAGTGTTTTGTCATTGGGCTCCATGACTGTGATTGTGACCTGTTAGAAAAATGAAGAATGGAGTGTGAACACTGTCACTAGTTTACAACAAAATAGACTAGACAGTAGACTCTAGACCTATGATGGATTTCTCATAAACAGGTGGTGCTACCCTATTGGCATTCTCTACCAATGCATGCCCACGACTTAGTATGCATGAGTAAAAGAACTGATGAGCTATACAAATTGCATGTTGCATAGAGTCTAGAGTATTACTAACTGTTAGATCTAACAGTTAGATCTAGACTTTAGACTAGACTAGATCTAGTTATTTAAGTCATGCATGCAGTCATGGGTAGAGTCTACGTCTTAGACTTTAGAGAATGTCACCCTAGACTATTTGTCTAATGTTGTCCCAGTACTACTAGATCTACTAGTATTAGAATTTAATAACACATGAATGCAGTTACTCAATCCTGATGATCATCATTCAGAAGTCTACATAGTCTAGTCTGCAATTGCTTTTTAGAAAAGTTTTACAAACAATAGGCCCTACACAAAGTTAAACAAATGGGACTGAACAAACAAACTATGACATAATTTTGCGAGTTAAGTTGGTTTTTTTTGTCATTGCCTTGATTTAAACACAGTGTGCGGATTAAAATACTAATTAAGGTGCCGTTGAAAGTATTCAGCTTCATATAAAATAACGTTCAAAATAACTTTGGAAAGTTGAATTTGTCATGCTTACCTGTCGTCCTCTTGTTCCTTTTCGGAATTAGCGCCCTTTTACAGGGCACAAAAATACGCAGACGGTTTCTGGTAAAACGGCGCTAACGTTGTGCGCACGCGCAAGGTCGTATAGCGCCCTTATACCGGGAATTAATATAGCCTTGCAACTGCTAACGCCCTTTTACTATTGTCAATAACTGAAAAATAAACAATTTCCAAAGCCGATTTTTTTTTTTAAAGGTGGCCAGGTTCAACCTTTATCGAATTGTGAAAAAAAAAAAAAAAAAAAAAAAAATGGTGAAATTGCGTGCTAGCGCCCTTATACCGGCCATACGAACACCCGATGCGAGAGTACTGGTGTCGCGCCCTTGCTGAAGGATGGTATTCTACAGTGTGACTCCACAGCCAAGGCCAACCTACTCAATGATCAATTTGCCTCCGTTTTTTACCCATGAGGATGCATCGCACCTACCAGACCTCGGTGAAAGCCCACACCCATCAGTCCCTGCCTTTGTTATCGACAGCGAAGGAGTTAGGAAACTTCTCGCAAACCTCAAATCCCACACAGCCTGTGGCCCTGACAACCTACCTGCGTACCTGCTGAAAGAAATCTCAAGTGAGCTAGCCCCAGTTCTTTCCCTTCTGTTCAATGCCTCACTACAACAGGGAAAAATTCCTCACGCATGGAAAGTAGCCAATGTCGTACCCATTTTTAAGAAGGGTGACAAACACAAAGCGGAGAACTACAGACCCATCTCCCTAACCTCTATCATCTGTAAAGTCGCTGAGCACATTATCCACAGCCAAATCATCCATCACCTAGACGAGCACAACCTCCTAACAGACTTTCAATTTGGCTTTAGGAGAAAACGATCTTGTGAGTCGCAGCTTCTTGTAACGGTAGATGACCTTGCGACAGGACTCAGAGATAAACAACAGATCGACGCCATTCTACTCGATTTTTCGAAAGCGTTCGACCGAGTACCCCACGAGCGTCTTCTTCTGAAACTGAACCACTACGGAGTCAGAAATGAACTACTCTCATGGATTCGGGATTTCCTCCAAGGGCGAACTCAGCAGGTCCTACTTGAGGGGAAGAAGAGCAACACCACCAACGTCACATCGGGCGTACCCCAGGGCACTGTCCTGGGTCCCCTTTTGTTCTTGATTTTCATCAATGACCTCCCCGATTGTGTCTCCTCATCCATTCGACTCTATGCTGACGATGCCTTCCTATATAGAACAACCAATTCCCATGATGACATTGAGTCCCTACACAGAGATCTCGCAAATGTTCAGGAATGGGAGAGGAAATGGCTCATGTCCTTTAATGTTGACAAATGTGAGGTGCTGAGGATTTCAAACAAGAGAAAACCCATCATCGGAGCATCCCCTTATTCCATCCACGGGACGACCCTCCGCACTCTTGACGAAGCAAAGTACCTTCCCAGCAAACACAAAACGTTTTTAGAACGTTTACAGAACGTTCTTATCAGGTTCCGTACGTCTTCGTCCATATTAAACGTTTAAAAAACGTTTATATAACGTCTAAGTTGGGACTTTACATTCGCTGCGGAGCTAGGTCTTTTGAAGACGTTCAGAAAACGTTTTTTGGACGTTACAAATTAAACGTTCTTGGATAGGTCATGTAAAACGTTTACAGAACGTTTTATTCAGACGTATTTTGTTGAATTTATTTTTTATGTCCAAATAAATATTTCCTAAAAAATACCAGCTGGCGAAATTAGGCCACATGCATACGCATAGGGGGGTCGAGGTATGTCAAACTGATGCACTCACGGTGGCGTAGCGATGTAGGGAGGCACGTGCCCCCAATAATTTTGAGGGAAAAAATAGAAAACACTAGAATTTAATTCGTCACGAGGACGAATAAGGTGGTCTGTCTTCAAGTCTGATGATAGATTATAATATTTACTATATTAAAAAAGGGAGAAGTTATATAGACATGTAAACAATGATGATCATGATGAAGATCTTGATAGTAATGGTGATGACGATGATGATGATCATGATGATGTTGATGATCATCATCAACAGACCATGATGACATCTGTTTGAAATAAATGAGGGAACATTTAGATAGCATATAGTCTCAGCTACAACATACTCAAAAATCAACAAAAACCAAGAGGAAATAACGGCGATATTGCTCGCAAAAGACAGGAATGTAGAATCCAGATTTGAGAAAAAGTCATCTCCCATAGGGACTACACGCAAGAAGTAATGGATCAAGTGATAATAGGGTAATAATAAAGTAAATATGGTTGTTTATTACATTATTTGCGATTCTACGTGTTTTAATATTCAAAGCAGATGGTAGAGTGAAAGGTCAAAAAGAAAAAAAAAGTGAAGAAAAAAAATTGTTGGAGACGCCCGGACTCGAACCAGGGACCTCGAGGTCGGAAGTCAGGTGCGTTACCGATATACCAAAACATTTCCCATAGAGATTACACGTAAACTGAAAATTGAATTCTCAAATCCCACTTTGTAAGTGAAATATGAGCATGATCCCGGCATCTGATCGAAAAATAAAGGGCACACTGGTGATAGCTTATTGTCTCAGCTACAACATACTCAAAGCTCAGCGTAAACAAAGATAGAACGACGGAGATATTGCTCGCGAAAGACGAGAATGTAGATCCAGTTTTGAGAAAAAGTCATGTCCTATAGAGAATACACGCAAAATGTGAAAAATTGACATGCCTCCTTTAATCGCAAAAATACGCCATAATACCATTGTCAAAATGAAATATCATGGTGACTGCATTTGTAGAGAATATACTCAGGTAGAACATATCAAAATTCGAAAGAAAATTGATCAATATTTACAGAGATACAATCAATTTTACAAAAATATGCTGACGTCATAATATGCAAATTGAAATTTTGAGTTTGGAGGCCATTATGATGACGTCATGAGTTAATTGAGGGTCAAATGACACATGAAATCATATCTCCAACTCATGCTTTTTCCAACCATGATATAAAAGTTGGGGTCAATTGACTATCTGAAGAGCTATTTTGATTTTTTAAATGGGATGTTTTTGATCAAATTTGCATTATATTGCCCATAGCAGCACGCGCGGATTTTGAACTTTGACGCGCGCTCACGGCCTTATGAAAGGTCAAGAGTGACTGAAATTAATGTAAATTGTCATTTACGGTAAGAGGAATCTAAATCATGTAAACAATTTGAATTTGACCTTTCCGCGCGTTATGAGCGCGCGCAACACGCGCGGTGACACTTACGGACGGAAAATTTTGAAATGCTTAAAATGACCTGATTCGTACTCTCCTTTAATAGTTAAGTAATTTTGAGCATTTTAAAATTTTGACGCGCGCGTACGTGCGCGTCATGACCTTTATGTGACCTTTGATGACATGACTTGTTGACCCTTGACCTGAAGTATATGTGATATGAATATGAATGACCTTTGCTTATGCATCATAAAGATATGATGGATAACGTGATTTCACAAAATGGCGCCTGGATGACGTCATGATGACCTGATGACCTTGAAAAGGTTACTGTCACGTCTCATGACAATGACCTATGACTGTGTCAAAATTGAAAGAAATTGACACAACCGATCTTGAGTTAACCGATGAACAAAAAACGGGGAGAAATAAAAATAAATAACTAGAATTTAATTCGTCACGAAGACGAATAAGGTGGTCTGTCTTCAAGTCTTATGATAGATTAAAATAGTTACTGTATTGAGAAAGGGAGAATTTATAAAGACATGTAAACAATGATCATCATGATGATGATGATCTTGATAGTAATGGTGATGACGATAATGATGATGATGATCATGATGATGTTGATGATTATCATCAACAGACCATGATGACATCAGACTGAACAAAATGAGAGAACATTTAGATAGTATATAGTCTCAGCTACAACATACTCAAAAATCAACAAAAATCAAGCTGAAATAACGGCGATATTGCTCGCAAAAGACAAGAATGTAGAATCCAGATTTGAGAAAAAGTCATCTCCCATAAGGATTACACGCAAAAAGTAATGGATCAAGTGATAATAGGGTAATAATAAAGTAAATATGGTTGTTTATTACATTATTTGCGATTGTACGTGTTTTAATATTCAAAGGAGATGGTACAGTGAAAGGTCAAAAAGAAAAAAAAGTTTAAAAAAAAAATTGTTGGAGACGCCCGGACTCGAACCAGGGACCTCGAGGTCGGAAGTCAAGTGCGTTACCGATATACCAAAACATTTCCCATAGAGATTACACGTAAACGGAAAATGGAATTATCAAATCCCACTTTGTAAGTGAAATATGAGCATGATCCCG